GTCTAGTGTAGGATTTGGTGTGTAGTAAGCACTCAGTAAATGTTTGTTACACTGAACTGAAGGGAAAAGTCAAGGCAGCCCGATGGAAAACCATCCCTTAGGTCAGATGATAGCAGGGGCAGAGAAGCGGAGTCAGAAACAAGACTTGGCTTGCAGGGCTATTACAGAGTTAAAATCTGGGTGGTGCAACTGGGCTTGGGAATGAGGAAGAGACAAGGCATTTCTATTTTTTTTTTTTAAACACTCAGGGGCCAAGGGCACCTGGGGGCTCTGTCAGTTAAGTGTCTGCCTTTGGTTCAGGTCATGATCCCAGGGTCCTGGGATCGAGTCCCGTGTTGGGTTCCCTGCTCAGGGGGAGCATGCTTCTCTCCCTCTCCCTGCCACTCCCCCTGCTTGTGCACTCTCTCTCTCTCTCTCTCTCTGTCAAATAAATCTTAAAAAAAAAAAATACTCAGGGGCCAGTACTTTTCTTCTATTTAATTTTTATAAGTTTATTTTTTTAAGTAATCTCTACACCTAATGTGGGGCTCGAACCAACAACATCAAGATCAAGAGTTGCACACTCTTTGGACTGAGCCAGCCAGGCGGCCCTCCATTTTTTTTTTTTTGAGTTTGGGCAGTTCTGTATTTATGGAAAATTTCAAAGAAAGTACGTGGTACTTTTACAATTTAAAAAGAGAGAAAGCAGGGCAGAGGCAGAGACTATGTGACTTGGCACCAACAAAATATAGCAAATAAGGGAGAAAGAGAAATCTAAGCCAAAAGCACGCTGGGGGTGGGAAGCCCTATTAAAAGAGCCTCAACATGACAGCCCTGAGAATAGCCACATATGGATGGAAGTTTGACACACACACATACACACACACCCCCACACACATACACACACACACCCGCACACCACACCCACACACACCACACACACCCCCACACACCCCCACAAACCACACACACACACACCACACACACCACACCCCCACACACCACACACACACCACACCCACACACCACCCACACACACCCACACACACCACACACCCACACACACCACGCACACACCACACCCACACACCACCCACACACACCCACACACACCCACACCACACACACGCACACACACACACCACACACACACACACATACAGAGGAAGGGAAGGAATATAGTAATAGGGTCTAGGAATTATTTTGAGCTATAGAGAAGATTTAATGATCTTGCCTTTGTTCTGTTGTCTCCCAGTGCCTGCCATGATGCTCAGGGATGCGAATCGCTTATTGGACACTTGCCCTGGGCCAGACATCATGCTATAAACACTTTATATCATAGATCATCTCAATGCCTTCAGTTTCTCTCTCTGTAATATAACTTACACATAGCCGCCAAATCAGATTTCCTCAGCTACTGATCATGCCTGGCCTCTACTGGACCATCAGCAACATCCCTGGCCTCAGAGAAGAATATGTGAAATCCTTAGTTTGGCAACTAAGAGCTTTCTTGGTGTGACCCTCGCTCACGTGTCCAACTTCGTCTCACACTGTTACTTTTCCAACAGAGTAAGTTCCTTGCCTGTGAGTATGTATCCATTAATCCATCCAGTGAGCATTTATTGACCACCTACTACATTGTCAGACACTATTTTAGGTGTCGGGAAGAGAATGGTAAACAAGAGAAGTGGCTCCCTCCTATCGTGGAGCTTGCCCTAACAAGCAATAAACGAGAAACTATCAGACAGGTGTATGGACTTTGATGACAATAAGAGAGGCTGGTGGGATAGTGAGTATGAGGAGAGGAAGACTCACTTAGATGGGGACAGTCAGGGAAAGTCTCTGCAAGGAGGTGATGGGGACAGTCAGGGAAAGTCTCTGCAAGGAGGTGATGGGGACAGTCAGGGAAAGTCTCTGCAAGGAGGTGAGTTTCAGGCTGAAAGCTGGTTGATAAATAGGAACCTAAGCAAAGATGTGGGCCAGGAACATTCTGGGCAGAGGAATCTGTCAGGACCAAGGCTCTAAGGTGTGCACAACCTTGGTGTGATCAAGGAATGGAGGGAACGTGAGAAGGAAGGTGATATCAGAGGAGGCTGTGTGTGGGGGGGTGTTGTTAGACCAAGCGAAGCCCTGTAGGTCTGGTTAAAGATTTGGGTTTTTATCTTTTTTTTTTCCTCTCTCATTCTATAAGGATTTATCATTCCCGAATCACAGTGAAAGAAACTTGGGTCATTTACCAATTTTGTTTTCTATTACGTGCCTTAGAGATACCTCACTAAAAACAGAAATCTGACATAACAGAATAACATTTGCAGAATGTAATAATTGTAGTGACGGTACTGAGGTTGATTGTTACAGACATATTAAACTCTTTGAGTATTAAATGGTTACATCCTATTTATACAGAACATTGGCCCAATAATAAAAATAGAGAACAGCAGCTGGAAATTTATCTCATTCAATGTTCAGAGATAAAAGGGTTAACCATTCATTCCATTATTTTCTGTAAGTCCTTTTTTCATACTGAAATCTGATGGCAGTTAAAATCTGATATTCTTCCAAGCTACTGTATGAAGAGGATGCTGAAGGCCATCGTCACACAGCATACTGCAACGTAAGGACTCTTCCGTGCACCAGTTCTGGCCACTTCCACAACATATCCAACGATCCAGTTTTATTCCTGTCCAGGAGGCTGGGTGCCAAGGATCGGATATAAGCACAGGTACTTATAGGCAGCAAGATTACACTCAACAGACTCTGAAAATGGAAAATGTCAGACGTAGTGAGGCCGGCGAAGCCCCAGCCACCAGATTTGGGTTTTTATCTTAAAAGCAATGGGAAGCTGCAGGCTTTTTAAGCAGATAGCTGATGTGATTAGATTTAGGATTTTAAATGATTACTTTGGTTTCTATGAGAAGGAATTAGAGCAAAAACAAAATCAGGGATATCAGTTAGGAGATGAGGGCAGGACTTCAGAAAAGAGGCTGGGGAGTGGCCGTGGGGACAAAGGTCCCACATAGGTTTGAGAGGAACGAGAGAGAGAAAATCGGTGGGGCGTGGTGAGGAAGTGGATTTTGAAGCGATGGAGAGAGGAAGTGTGGAGCACGTGCAATAAGCCAAGGGCCCAGTCATAGGTTAGAAACAAAGGGGAAAAACACAAAGTCAGCTACCTCAACTCTCACTGGTAGCTTTTAAATATTCCTACTTGTGGCTGTGTGTGTGTGTGAGAGAGTGAGACAGAACCACAAAGCAAGACACACATTGCAAGACACATCCATATGTTTAACATATGGATCGTATTTGATTTAGAACAATACTTAGGTAGATAAATGAAGATGGTGTACTCTTGCATTATCATAAAAGGGAGGCAGAATCATTCCCTGCTAACAGGGATGTGGCTTCCTCTCCTGCTTCAGGCCAGGATAGTATTGGCAAGTATGAACTGGCAAGTTGGAGTCCATCTCTGACTAAGGAATCATTCGAGTATTTACTGAACTTTTTAGAACACTGTTTTATGGGGGAACCAGACAAACTGGAGGGGAGTAAGTCAGGGGAAAAACAAAGGAGTACATTAGAAAAGTTGTGAGATTTATGCAGTTATAAATGTCCAGAAATAGTCTCTCATGGGAAGGACCTCAGAAATCTAGGGCTTGGAGGCTGAAATTCAGGCAGTGATATTTAAAAACTGAAGATAGTCTAATAAAACAGCTAGTGTGGGGGCACCTGGATGGCTCAGTCAGTTAAGTGTCCGACTCTTGATTTCAGCTCAGGTCATGATCTCGGGGTCCTGGGATTGAGCCCCATGTCGAGCTCCCCACTCAGTGCGGAGTCTGCTTGCCTTCCTCTCCCTCTGCTTGCTCGCTGTCTCTATCTCAAATAAATAAATCTTAAAAAAACCCAAAAAAACAGCTAGTGTGCTGTCCCTATATAAATTGTACCTTGGGGAAACCAGAGAGTTGGGAAGAGGGAGTTCTCTTTGTAGAAGTATTCCAGTTAATAAATGAAGAAGGAATAAATTATGGAAATAAAACACCACCATTTGGCAAAACCAAATGAAATAAGGGCTTCTCAATGGCTGCTAACATCATGAGACAAAATAACACTATGTACCTCCCGGTAGAAGGACACAAGATCACTATGGAGTATTCTTGCCCTTAAATCTGAATCTGTCATGTTTACAGATCCAAATACCAAAATTAGGAAAGAGGAGCAGGGGCACCTGGCTGGCTCAGTTGGTAGAGCGCGTGGCTCTTGATCTTGGGGTTGTGAGTTTGAGCCCCATGTTGGGTGTAAAGAAATAAAATCTGTAAAAAAGCGGGGCGTGCCTGGGTGGCTCAGTCAGATGAGCATCTTCCTTCGGCTTGGGTCATGATCGCAGGGTCCTGGGGTCGGGCTCCCTGCTCAGGGGGGAGTCTGTTTCTCCCTCTCCCTCTGCCCTCTCCCCCCCCCACCTGCTGCTTGTGCTCTCTCTCTCTCTCACACACATACACAACACTCTGTCTCTCTCTCAAATAAATAAAAAAAATCTTTTAAAAAAAAGGGTGGGGGAAGCAGAGGATAGAGGAGCACGTTAAAGGACCCCAGAGGATAGAATTGGCCAAACACAGAGCTGGGGGGACACCACAGGACAACCAGCTTTCTTCAACAAATAAGTTACAAGAATAAAACAGAGGAAGAGGGGAACAGAGCAAGACTTGTAAGGAACATACCAACCAATTGATATGGAGACCTTATTTGGATTTTGATTCAAACAAACTAAAAAACAGCAACAAAAGCAAAAAACATAACTAGGGACATGTGAACATTGACTGAAATAGTTGATGATACTGTCAATCACTGCTCATTTTTTTTCAGGAGAAATAATAGTATTGCAGCTGTGTTTAATAGGAGACACACCTTTTAAAACAGTGGTTCTCAAAGTCAGAGCATGCATCACCATCACCTGGAGAGCTTATTGAAACACATATTGCTGAGCCCCACGCCTAGTTTCTGATTCAGCAGCTCTGGGGTGGGTTTCTAGCAAGTTCTCAGGTGACACTAATGCTGCTGGTCTGGGCTCACATCTTGAGAACCGCTGCACCGGATTAGCCAGATTTTTTAAATCTAATCACTCTTTCAAAGAAAGAGCTTAGGTTATCAGCTGAGTTCTATCCCCCTGGGTTACAGCACTTGGACAGCATTCCATATAATGAAAGCAAATGAACTCTTGTTCCAAGGCTCACCCGATAATTTAGTCTGTATTGCCACAGGAAGGCTTGAAAGAAGAATACCTTCAGCTCACCTCTTTTCTCTCCAAGTGTGACAAACCTAGCTCCCTCCTTAACCACTTGTGTCTACCCTTCCCCTCCCACTCCCCAGCACAGGATCCTGTAAGGCTCCCTGGAACTTAGGCTACATCCCTCCATCATTTCAAATTCAAATTCAAAGCGGGTTGATGCATATAATATGGGGCATCCAGTCCTGCGTGCAGTGTCTCAGAGACTCTAGCAGATCTCAGAGGCGGTCCGTTCTCTGCTGTTGTAGAGGAGACCTGCAGCCAAATTTTGGCTCTTCTGTCACCTGTGTACCCACAATGCATTGTTCGGCGATTTGGGGCCTTAGGTTTTCAACAGGTAAAGAAAGAAAGCTGTTATTATGAAGAAAATGGGACACCTGGAGAAATAATAGCCAGAGTTCCTTGGAGGAAAGACATTTCCACCAATACCAGAACATTGAATTTTAGAGATATTATTACTTTATAATTTAACAAAAAAGTGCTTGTGTGTGCGCGTGCGCGCGCACGCATTAGATCCTCACAACAACCTTGTGAGGTAAGTAAGGTAGAGGCCGAGAGAAGGTAAAGTCTGGCCAAATTAAATGTCAGGGCCAGCGCTCAAACACCCCCCCTTCTCAATGGAGGCAGTGTTCTTTCCAACACACTGCCTTCCCTCAATTTATTTCCATTAAATATAGGAATGTACTAGTGCATAGAAGGAATGACTCTAAAAAAAATCAGAGTTGCATTAAACTTAAAACCAAAGGGCCCATGAGCCAGGTGATTAGGAAACAGGAGTTGTTCCCCTCAGCTAAATGCCAGGAAGGATCCCTGTGATATTTAACGTCTCCGCAACTTTGCTTCCATCGTTTTACAGTCCTCTTCCAGCCTCTTCTGGCTTGTTCACCGCCAGATATTTTCCTATGCCTCAGATGGCAGCAAACCTCCAGTGGGAGTACCTCATACACTGGTGTACAAAGAGCTTCTGAAATTCTTTCGGCCTTGAAGTCACAAGACCACAGACATCCTCTATGAGAATTCTGCCTTGTCATGGCAATGAGACATCTGGTGACTAACGTCTGCATAGCACTGGATAGGGAGAGTGTTTTCTGTTTTATTAAATCTTTGTGTTCATACCCCAAATCCTCTAGTTGCAATCTAATTTCTTGCAAGTCCTGGATTCGTGGGGCTGCGCTAATGCACTCTTATTGAATCATAAGGCTAATAAACGTATTGAGGGTCGTTTAAGGGCCAGGTGTTACATAGTATTAAGGGCTTATACGATCTCAAATATTAATCATTAATAGTGGTAATGTGGCCACATATACCTCGCTCCTCTTTTAGTAAATCAAGCATCAACCATCACACTCACATTTCCCTAAGGTCGGTTAAAAACACTGAAGGAATGCCTTTTGTATTCAAAACATTATTTGTGGCCTATGGGTTTATCCTCACCATTAAAGCGTAGGAAAAGGCCCAACTTGAGCCACTGATGCCCATGTTCAGGCTTTCTATACATGGAGCACCTGAAGACAACAGAAATGAAAATCTGGAAAGGGGCAGAAGAAGCCCTTCAAACCATTTCCTAGATCAAATGGGTATTTTGATGGCATAAAAGATGTGCTTTCTGACGGAAGCTCTTGTCACATCTACTACAGTGGAAAGGTTTTTCTCCTGTATGTGTTCTCTGGTGTGTGAGAAAATGGGAACGCTGATTGAAGGTTTTGCCACACTCGGGACAGTGATAGGGCCTGTCTCCTAAGTGGATTCGTTGATGAGTAATGAAGTGGGAGCTCTGGTTGAAGCTCTTCCCACACTCGCCACATTTGTAGGGTCTTTCCCCCGTGTGGATCCGTTGGTGTTTTATGAGGGCAGAGCTGTCGGCGAATCCCTTCCCACAGCTGTCACACTTAAATGGCCTCTCACCGGTGTGTGTCCTCTGGTGCGTGACCAGGTGTGAGCTCTGACTGAAACTTTTGTGGCAGTAAGGACAGCTGAAAGGCCTTTCTCCTGAGTGAGTACTCATGTGCGCTACAAAGTGAGAACTATCTCTAAAGCCCTTCCCACACTCTGGGCACTTAAAGGGCCGTTCTCCGGTGTGGGTTCGTTGGTGTTTAACCAAGTCTGAGCTCTGGCTAAAACTTTCCCCACAGTCACTACACCTGTAAGGCTTCACTCCCGTGTGGGTCCTCTGATGGGTAATGAAGTTTGAGCTTCGACTAAAGCTTTTATGGCATTCGAGACATGTGTAGGGCTTCTCTCCTGTGTGGGTTCTTTGGTGCATTATGAGGTGTGGCTTCCGCCCAAAGGTCTTTCCACACTGTGGGCACCCATAGGGTCTCTCACCTGTGTGAGTTCTCTGATGTTTGATGAGTGTAGAGCTGTCGCTGAATTTTTTCTCACACCCGTTGCATTGGTAGGGTTTCTCTCCTGTGTGTGTTCTGCGATGGGTGACAAGGTCTGAACTCTGTTTGAAGCCTTTCCCACACTCGATGCATTTATAAGGCCTCTCACCAGTGTGGGTTCTTAGGTGTCTTATGAGATAGGAGCTCTGGTTAAAGCTTTTTCCACATTCTGCACACACAGGCTTCTTTCCTACACATCCATCCAGCAGCTTGTTTAGATCCTTCTCCTGGGGAAGCGGCTCCAGTCGGCCCTCTCCTGGTAGGGTTCCATGTTGCCCTTCTAATTCAAGGTCCCTCTCCCAGCTTCCTCCCCATCTAGAAGTATGAGAAATATCTTTATTGGCCCTTTCTGAGGATGTTCCACATCGTTCTGCTGTTTCTGAAATGTCCTGATTGAGTTTTGTCACCTGATTCTCAAAGTCTGAAAAATTAACAAAAGTAACAGGGAATGAAGTTACTCAGTTATCAGGAAAAAACATCAGAAGGCAGTAAGAAAGATTGACATTAGCGCTTTGGCAACAGACGACACTTAATTTCACTTTGTGAAAAGTTTTTTTTTTTAATTGTATTTATTTATTTGACAGAGACAGCGAGAGAGGGAACACAAGCAGGGGGAGCGGCAGAGGGAGAAGCAGGCTCCCCGCCGAGCAGGGAGCCCGATGCGGGGCTCGATCCCAGGACCCTGGGACCATGACCTGAGCCGAAGGCAGACGCTTAACCATCTGAGCCACCCGGGCGCCCCAAGGTTTGTTTTTTTTTTTTAATTTTTAAAAAGGATTTTATTTTTAAATAATTTCTACAACCAGTGTGGGGCTCAAACTCACAACCCAGAGATCAAGAGTCGCTTGCTCCACTGACTGAGTCAGCCAGGCGCCTCTCATTTTGTGAAAAGTTTATCGAAGTTCATTAAGCTTACAGAAAACTTAAATTCCTAAACCCTTTTTAAGATGAATCTTGGGGGATGCCTGGGTGGCTCAGTTGGTTAGGCATCTGCCTTCAGCTCAGGTCATGATCACAGGGTCCTGGATCAAGCCCTGCGTCAGCAAGGAGTCTGCTTCTCCCTCTCCCTCCCTGCCACTGGCTCATGCTCACTTGCTCTCTGTCAAATAAATAAATAAAATCTTAAAAAAAAAAAAAAGATGAAGCTTGAGTGGGTGCCTGGGTGGCTCAGTTGGTTAAGCATCTGCCTTCGGCTCGGGTCATGATCTCAGGGTCCCAGGATCGAGCTACATTTGGGGCTCCACACTCAGCATGGAGTCTGCGTGAGGATTCTCTCTCTCTCTCTCCCTCTCCCCCTGCCCCTCCCATTTGCACACACTTTCTCTCTCTCTAAAATAAATCTTTAAAAACAAACAAAAAACAATAAATGAAGACTTTAAGGGCACCTGGCTGGCTTAGTCGGTAGAGCATGTGACTCTTGATCTTGGGGTTATGAGTTCAAGCCCTACGTTGGGCATATAAAGTTTACTTAAAAAAAATAAAATGAAGACTTGATTTGGTAAATTACTGATTGCCCAAGAAGTCAAATTTAAACTTCAAATAGTGAGAACAAAGTCTATGGCAGCATTCCAAAATCTGCATCTAAACAAGGGCTGAGGGTGCCTGGGTGGCTTTGACTCAGGTCATGATCCCAGGGTCCTGGGATCGAGCTCTGCATCAGGCTCCCTGCCCAGTGGGGAGTCTGCTTGCCCCTCACCCCTGCCCCTCCCCATCTCTCATGCTCACTCTCTCAAAATCTTAAAAAATCTTAAAAAAAAAACCAAAAAAACAACCAAGGCTAAAATGCTAGATCTCCTCCCACTGGATAATATCCATATCTCACCTGTATGACTTTCCCTTAGGATCTTCCTTGCCTCAAAATTTTGGATTGGTAGCACTTCTTTCTGTTCCAGCTGGGAGATTACACTGGGTCTGGAAATCCTATAACAGGAAGGTGAATATAGGATATTAATCTGAGCCAACCATACAATGCCTGACCAAAAAGGCAAGCCCTCCTCCTTCCCTAAGTAGAGGAGAAAGCCCAGTGAGATGCTAAGCTAAGGTGTGTTTGGTCTCATTGAAAGGGCTGCCATGATGGAGTGATAAAACAGGGTGATCTCCCCAAGAGGCTAAGAAAATAGCCCCTTTCCTCCCATTAAAACAACAACAACAACAACAACAACAACAACAAAACCAGACTTGGGTGATAGAAACTCCAGAGTGAGCACAATAATTCATCTCTGAAGGCACAAGGCTAAACCCATGATTTTATCAGAAACAATGCCATCATGACCTCACCCTTAGAAAGAATCAGGGAAGTTAACTATAATGTTGGGCTTTAAACTTTTCCCAGAAGGGCAGCAGTAGATATAGCCAAGAGAAAAAGACAAACACGTGTAAAGGGGGGGAAAAAAAAGGGCAAAGGCTATAAATAGGCAATTCACACACAGACACACACATACACGCAGTCTGTAAATATGTGAAAAACCTTTAACCTTACCATTAACCAAAGAAATTCAAATAAAAACAATGATACAGTTAGACAATGTAGTATGAAGGTAAAGAGTGCAAACTGCCTAAGTTTCAATCTTAACCAATCCTCTTACTAGCTGTGTGACTTCAGGAAAGTGACTTGAAGTCTCTGTGTCTCAGGGTCTTCATCTGTAGACTAGGGATAATGGTAAGACCTACCTCACAGTGTTGTTGTAAGGATTAAGTGGTAAGTCCCCAATAAATGTTAGCTGTCACTGTTATTTAACCCAGACTCTTAAATTTTAATACCTACCATGATAGGTAAAATGTAAAGAAATGGACACTTTCATATAATGCTTGCAGAAATAAATAATTCAATCTTTTTGGAAGGCATTGGGCAAAAATATCAAATATCTTAGAAATGTATCTATTCTTTGATCTAGCAATTCTAATTCTGGGAATTCTAAGGAAATGAAAAAAAAAGTAAAAAAAAAAAAAAAAAGTTGTGGGACGCCTGGCTGGCTCAGTTGAAAGAGCATGTGACTCCTGATGTCAGGGTTGTGAGTCTGAGCCCCACGTTGGGGGTAGAGATTACAAAGAAAAATAAATAAAACTTAAAAAAAAGTTGTGCAAAAGGTATATTAGCTAATTACTAACTAATTATACTTTAATAAACAAGACCTAAAAAAGAAAGACAGTTAGCCAAGAGATGGTCATTACAATACTGGTGAAGATCTGGAAATGACCTAAATGTCCTATGACAAAGGAATAATCATATTTGATTGAGCCATATGAAATTGCCATTGTATAAGTTAAAAAATGGTTTAAAAATGGTCAAGTATATGATTCAATCTAATGTAAGTTATTATATTCCATTCAATAAATTACTAAGTGGTTATTTTAAGCAATGTATAGAAGATTATTGTTGTCAATATATATTCACAATACACTGTGTAAAAAAGTAAGATGCACAACTGAACATACAAGTAAGATCCCAATTTTTTTCTTTTGTTTTTGTTAATTACATATATCCTTAGAACAATGCTTGGAAGGATAGTAACTCTTCAGTCGTGGGATGGCATCGGACTTTGCTTTTCATTTTGTTTCTCTTTTCCTTCAAGGGGCGTATATTACTTATGAAGTAAAGCAAGGAGAAGGGGTAGCCATTGTATTTTAGAAAGAGCACTGGAGGTTTGTTTTGTTTGTCTGTTTTTGAAGTGGCAGGAAAAAACACAGCTCCCCTTTGCCACAAAGACCTGGGTTGGACTCTTACTCTGCCACTTAACTTTGAGTCTTGGGGTCCTGACTGAAAGAGGTATAATACCCACATCAAAGGGTTATGGTGAGATATTAACAAGAAAATTAATATCAAAGATATCCCTGAGCTATAAAGTGCCATAAAAATGAAAGTCATGCCAAAAAAAAAAATAAAAAGTGGAAGTTATTCTTTTTCTGCCAGGGAGGCAACAAATATTCTCACAGAGAGCTGGTGCTGTAAGAGACCAGTGTCCCTAGAGCCTGCTCAGACTTGGACCTTCTCACAATATCTAAGTCTAAAATCTAAAAGGAGAGTAGCAGCCTTACCCTTTGAGAGCCCATTCTTCAAACTGTGCCGGGTGGTATCCTTGAATAGGATTTTCTAAGCGGTGCCCAGGTAACCCACTCTTGCCTGAAGTCCCCAGCCACATCATTGAGAGGCATCAGTTCCTAAAGCAAGAGACCTCAGTATGCATCAGAAGCTCTCTGGACATTCTAACCATTCTAACCATTGTCTCAAAACCAAAAGACAGTCCCAGAGGCCACCAGTAAACCCAAAGAAAACCCCCCTTGCCTAGAATAGCTATGAGGTAAATTCGGTCAACCACCAAAGGGTTGCTTTTCTTGTTGTGTTTTTACGTCATCTTTCCCTTGGCCAACACTCACATCATGAAGTGAGGCCTGGAGCTCCCAAACACATCTACAGAACCCTCAGTCTTTGGAAAATTAACTTTTTGAGAAATAAATGGTTCACGATGGACAAGATAAACAAAGAAGAGAATGTGTGGGGATGACTTGATTTGTGAAAAGTTCTCCAGCTACATTTTCCTCAGCAAGCTAGAAAATTGTGGACTTCACCATACTCGTATTAGTTATGAGAACAGTTGACTCTTCCTGGCTTGTAGATTTGGTGTCAACCTCAAGGAACAAGACCCTGGGTACCATTCTATTTCAAGGTTTAATGGAATCAGAAATGAGATTTAAAAAGACATGGATAAGCTGTAAAATAAAGTAAAATTTAATGAAGATAAGCACAAAACAAAACCCATGGGGCCCGAAAACAATCATTGACACATTGATAAAACTGACAGCAGTATCAAGAAAAAATTATTTGGAGGGCAATGGTCAGATTACTAGATGGATCAGTAATTTACTCAGTAATATGTTGTAAGGCATTAGGAGTCACAAAGAAATATAATGTTTTTTTTTTTTTTGGTTCTGTTTTGGGGTCTTTTGTGTTTTTTGGGGGGTGGGGGTGGTTTAAAGAGTTTCCAATAGAAACAAACACAAGTCAGCCAGCTGAACCTGCTACAAACAATTCTGCATTTCAGTGGGCGATGGAACCAGACTGGAGTGAGGAAGCTTAACTCTTTCCCCGTTTTTTGTCTCACCAATCAAAGCGCCTGGGTACTACTAGAAGACACTCACACTTTTCATGGAAACATTTATGCATTTCCGCACATTGCTATTGGTCATTTATAAAGTACTGAATGTTTAAGGACCTAAACACCGCCGGGATACATTTCCTCTCTGGATTTAAATAACGTCATTAGGAGGTAAGTTTGGAGCATAAATTTTATTTCCACGTCCATTAGGAAACACAACTGCTGGGCCCCCTTGCAGGAGACAGCGGGACTGAGGGGGTTCACAGCCACGGTCACAGAAACCTTGTTTCTCACCCCGTCTCCTGCCCCCCACCCCCACCCCGACAGGTAACCCCCGCAGGCCCCAGAGCGCAGAGGTGCTAAGGGCCATTGTGAGCAGCACCAGTTTGCTCGCTGGGGTTATTAATAGGGACATGACGGCACCGGTGGGCCGACACCCGTCCCCCCGCCCTCCCCTGCCAGTGGCTGGAGGCCCTGTCAGGGCGCCGCGGTCACAGGGTCGCAGCGCTAAGCTGGAGCCCGGAGACCACCTCCGAGGAGCAAGAACATTGATCGAGAGGATGGGCTCTCCCGACGACGGCACAGAAAGCCGCAGCCACCTGTCCCCACTCTTCAGCAAACCCCCGCGGGCTCCGAAAGGCGAGCGCGGGGACCTGGCAGGGACCACATCGCGGCGGCGGGCGAGTCCCCTCCACGCCCCTCGGCAGCTCCCAGGCTACCGCAGCGGTCTCCTTGTCCGCGTCACTCACCGCCCCGGGGCCCGGCCGGGGATGGAGCAGGAAGTGAGAGTCCTCCACCGCCGAGCCGCACCCAGCCCACAACGCCGAGGCAGTCCCTCCCTGAACCCGACCGGGATTCGTGACAGGGCTGTGGGGACACAGGTGGGACTCTGGGCGCGACAGCCCGCAGCCGGAAAACACCGCCCCTGTCCCCTTACCATTGGCTCCTCATTTTCCGCGACCAGAAGCTTCGTCCGCTCATAGGCCGGTAGAGCCTTCAATCACCGCGCGGCCTTTTGGGATATGTAGTCTCGAGCAAGACCTCAAAGGACTCGGAGTCCCGGGATACCCAGGTCCAAGCGGTGGCGAGTACGAAGCCCAGTTCTCCCTACGGCGGGAACTGCTTCTCTCGAGTTGACAGAGGGATCTGCAGACGCGAAACTCTTGGCCTCACCCGACTGCCGCGGAGCAGCCATGTACCAACGGCGGCGGCTCCCGCGCTCTGGCACCTCGCGCCCTGCCAAGCGCCGGGCGGCTCATCGCCGCCGGCGTGTGGATGCTCCTCTGCCAGGCCCCCCATCCCGGAGGGCCGGAGCCTGCGTGGTGTCTGCCGCCGGCCGGTTCCAGGGCAACTCAGGCTATGCATTAAGAAACTCCAGGCAGAAGCCGTTAGCAGAAAACAGACGTCCCGCTCCCCTCCGTTAGCCTCACAATTCCACCGGGTAACACACCTGTCAATAGCCCGAGGAGGCTGGCGAGGGTGTCAGATAGTCTAGGAAATGTGTATTGGGTTCCAAACTGTGGCGGCTACTGGGTCTTATGTGAGAACTAGTGTTCACTTTGGGCCGGGTCCAAGTCTTTCTCTACAATGAAGAAAACGCACCTGTCTATCCTATTTGTTGATTCAATGCGAAGAAAAAGAAGAGGAAGAGGAAGAGGAAGAAGAGGAGGCGGAGGAGGAGGAGGAGGAGGAGGAGGAGGAGGAGGAGGAGGAGGAGGAGGAAGAAGAAGAAGAAGAAGAAGAAGAAGAAGAAGAAGAAGAAGAAGAAGAAGAAGAAAAACAACAACAACAACAACATTTTGTTCTTTTAGAATTACCAGTGCATGGCTAACGTGAAGACTCCCTCGATGCTAATTCACCATTCCTTCAACGAACATATTCTAAGTCTTGGGGTGCTACCTCTGACCCTAACAAATAGTTACTGGGAATGTTCTACATTCCAGATTGTGCCGGGCACTGTGGTTACCCACAGGAATCACGTATGACCATTGCTTCCATGAAGCTCACAGGCCAACAGGGGAGAGAAACCACAGAAGATATTAAATACCAAATAATATTGTCTCCCCCCCCAAATAGCTAGTGCATTTCAATTATTTCCTCTGCAAGATAACCACAACAGTATTTGGGAGAATTCTGTCCACGATAAACAAATGTCTGGTTTTACTTAGCAGATGTATTTTAGTTAGACGGAAACAGGGAAAACAAATCTCATGGGAACCAGAAACAGCGAGGAACACCCTGCAAACCTAGGGAGTGCCGGGCCTCATATAACTAGAATATAGTTCAGGACCTGAACTATAGAATCAAAGGAATCTCCAGGCCCCTCTGGGGTCTTTCTGGAATTCTGCCATCAGGAAGAGTCCATGGCTCTTCAATCAATCAGCAAGGAGTGTGGAGGGGAGGGGAATGAAGTCACTGAACCTGACTGCGGCTATCCCTTACCTCTCTCTCTCTGGCCTCTGTTTCTTCTGCCCCAGTCTTGTTCTCTCAGCATTGTATTCATCATAAGCAGATGTGGGGGAAGAAGAAGGGGAGGAGAAGCTTGATCACATAATAAAAACAGCCAGTTAGAGGACATGAGGCCATGTACACCAGGTGGCCACTCAGGGAAGGCCCATGACCTGTAAGGAGTTTGGGTGCTTACAGGTGTGCCAGAGAGAAGGCAATGCAGGAGGAGAGGATGAAAAGAGAGAAAGATTTTTAGCAGGTGCTGTAACTGGATTTTTAAAATTTTTAAAAATTTTTTTGAGAGAGAGAGAGAGAGAGAGTAGGGGGGAGGGGCAGAGGGAGAGAATCTTTTTTTTTTTTTTTAAGATTTGAGAGAGAGAACGAGTAGGAGGGGCAGAGGGAGAGGGAGAGAATCTCAAGCAGACTCCATGCTGAGCACAAGCCCCATGTGGGGCCCCATTCCATGACACCAAGATCATGACCTAAGCCAAAACCAAGGGTCGGACGCTTAACCAACTGCGCCACCCAGGTGCCCTAGAGAGAGAGACAATCTTAAGCGGTTTCCACGCTCAGCGCAGAGCCCAACATGGGGCTCGATCTCACGACCCTGAGATCACGACCTGAGCTGAAATCAAAAGTCAGACACTTAACTGACCAAGCCACCCAGACGCCGCACGTAACTGGACTTTCTAAGGGAGTATATTATCTATTGCTGCATAACAAATTACCCCTCAAGCTTTGTGGTATAAAATGACAAACATTTATTATGGTTTCTGTGGGTCCGGAATCTGAACACTAGTTGGGTGTCTCTAACTGAGTGTCTCCCATGAGGTCATGTTCCAGGTGTGGACTGGGGCTGCACTTATCCCAAGGCCTGACTGAGGCTGGAGGACGTGCTCCCAAGCTCGCTCACGTGGCTGTCTCCTCACGACATGGCAGCGAGTTTCCCCAGAGTGAGAGAGCTGAGAGAAAGAAGCAGAAGCTTACCTAACCTCGGAACTGATATCCCCTCCCTTCTGTCATGTCCTCTTGGTCATGCAGACCACCCCTGGTACAGTATGGGACAAGGACTTGAATACTAGGAGGCACGGATCATTGGGCCACCTTGGAGACTGGCTGCCACCGGACTAAAGTGAATTTTAAGACATTTTCCTTGTGACATACTCTGTCAAAGCCCTGTGACACCTCCTTCAGGAAACTTCTAGTAGAGAGATGTATGGGGGAGCGGGGGGTGGGCAGTCACAACGTACACAGTATGACACAGATGTAAAAAAAAAAAAAAGGTTGTTTTTTTTTTTTTTGAAGTGTCTATAATTAAACTAAGATTCCTCAGGAGATTCTCATTCCTGGGCAGTTATTCAGCTTACCAGTTTAAAATAACATTTTGGGTTTAAAACAGTCAAATTTGGGTAAACCTTAGTCAGTTTAAAGTTTAAACTCCCTATGAGAGCTGTCTATCTCCCCCAAGGGTCTCCCCTCCACTTACCCTTTCCCAGGATGATATGGGGTTCCAAGGGGAAGCACTGGGGAAAGGGGCCCCACTTCTCAGCTGACCTTCTCCACTGGCCCCTGCTCATCCACTCACGCTCACCTCACCTCACCAGATCTCCGTGTCAGCCTCTGGACTCATTTCATCTCCACTGACCCATTCACGCCTGGCGGCCTGTTCTCTCCGGTACCTGTTTGGGCTCCTGCCCTGACACCTTGGCCACAGGTCCTCAGCCATATGGTGACCCCTTGGGAGGCTTCCTGACTCTCAAATTCAGCTACTCCGATTACCTTCGTCAGAAGCAACTGGAGACTTCTAGAACCCTCCATGCTCTACAGCTTAAGTCTTGGGGTGCTACCTCTGACCCTCTTTCTGCCCAATTCATCTATGGCTGCCATTTCTACCCTACTGTAGCTACCACATGTTGACTTGGGGATGCTCTCTGGGTCAGTTGCTATTCACAGTTCAAATAAGAAACAGGCAGCAATTTCTTTTATGTCAGTTTCCCTTTCAACCCCTCCGGGGTTCTTAGCATCATTTTCCCACTTCTCCTCCCGTTGGTGATAACTTTCCTGGCCTACTTTTAATGGCAGAAGGCTGCCTGGAAGCATCTCTACAAGGAACTGCGCTTGGCTATATGTAAAAGAAACCTGACTCCCGCGGTGTTGCCAAATTAGGAGCTGTTTTTCTCATGTATCAAGAAGTGTAGGGGCGCCT